TCCTGCTTTTCTTCATATTCTTACTCTTCCTTCCCGCTTTTCTTTCTCTTCCTTCTTCATCGTCTTTCTATCCCCTCTTTTCCCTCTCCTCCATTTCTTTACTTCATCCTTTTTCCTCTTCTTTCTTTTCCTTCTTCTCTTCCCTTTTTCTTCTCCTAATTTTCTTTACAACTTTTTCTTTCTTCTTTTCCTTCTATCACTTCCTTCTCATCTCCTATTACTTCCTTATTCTTATTCTCTCATTTCCTTCTTCTTCTTCTATCACTTCTTATTCTCCTCTCAACTCTTTATTCTCCTTCTCTCACTTCCTTCTCTTCTTCCCTCATTTCCTATTTTTCTCCTTCTCTCAATTCTTTATTCTCCTTCTCTCACTTCCTTCTCTTCTTCCCTCACTTCTTCTTCTCCTTTCCCTTCACTTCCTTCTTTTTCCCTCTCTCACTTCCTTCTCTTTCTCTCATCTTCCTCCTTCTTCTTTCTCTCACTTCTCCTTCTCCTTTTTCAATTCCTTATTTTCCTTCTCTCACTTCTTTCTCTTTCTCTCGCTTCCTCCTTCTTCTCCTTCCCTCACTTCGTTCTTCCTCACTTCTTATTCCTCTCACTTCTATTCCTTCCTTCTCTCCTTCCCTTCAATTCCTTCTTTTCCTTCTCTCACTTCCTTCTTCTCTTTCTTCGTCTTCCTCCTTCTTCTCCTTCCTCAGTTTCTTCTTCTCTTTTTCTCACTTCCTTCTTCTCTTTCTCTCACTTCCTCCTTCTTCTCCTTCTCTCTCTATCGCCCTTCGTAGTCTGTGTGTCACCATGCTGTTGTGTCGTTGCATTAAATGAGTATCTTGATTTTGCCAAATTTCTCATGTTGCTTCCTTTATTAATCACCTTTTTGTCTCTTGAAGGTCCTTTTTGTCTCTCTGTTCTCAATCCTCTTCCTCTCCCTCTTTCTTATTCCTTCCTTTTATTGTCTGTTTGTGTGAGATACTTTTGAGGTCTTGAGTGGATGTCATGTTACGCGAGTTTTATATTTATCAATTTTCTGGTTATGTTTATCGTATCTGGCTTTTCACGGTTTTATTATTATTATTATTTAGATTTCTGTTTTTTTATATCATTATTCGCATTATTGTCTTGTTTATTGCATTTTTTTAGATATCTGTATTTTATCATTATTCGCATTATTTTCTTCTTTTAGAGTTTACCCTTCTTTTTATATCAAATTTCCCGTTCTTCTACTCTCGCTTTTTTATTCCACAGTTCCGTTTTCTGTTAATCCAAACCCCGTTTTCTATACCCTACCTTGACTAGCCTTTCTGTCGCATCCAATGTACCTTTTATTAATCTCTCACTGTACTTTGTATTCAGCCGACTCGCCCTCCTCGTCGACTTCGGATACGGTACATTTTCCAGGTACCGCGAGAGTATCCGGAAGTAGGTACAGTGCTTAAAGTCGGGAGGAACAATAGGTGTATTGTGTGGCGTTAGCGGGGTCGAGTTACCGTGAAGATAATTGTGTTTTGTTGATGAGTAAAGGTGTGGGGAAATATGGATGGTTATGATGAAGATGATGATGATGAATGATGATAGTGATAATTGGGTAATAAGGATGATAATGATGAATAAGTGTATTGGGTATAAGGATGATAATGATGATAATAGTGATAATTGGGTAATAAGGATGATTGTGATCGATGATAAGGATGATAATAAATTTGGAAATAAGGATGATTATGGTGGTGGTGAAGATGAAGATGATAATGATGGTGATGATAATAGTGATAATGATAATAACTACAATAACAATGATAATATAGTAATGATAATAATGATAATAGTAATAATGATGGCATAATATTATTATTGTTAATACTGATTATGATAATACATACAACAAATATAGCTAAAATGTTAATAAAAGAAGCAGCAATAATAATGACAAAAATAAAATATCGAACCCCTCCATAGAAGATTAAACATTAATCTTCCTCGCTCGTGTAGAGGCAATATTACAAAGGTACAGGTACTATGAGGGAAGAGATACCACCACAGAAGGCGGGGGGGGGGGGGGGGTTATTAACTGAATTCTAAAGGTTTAATTTTTTTTTTTTTTTTTTTTTTTTTTTTTTTTTTTTTTTTTTTTTTTTTTTTTTTTTAACTTTAGTGTCTCTTAGAGCGGGATCAATAAAAAAACGGGATATTAAAATAAAAAAAGAATCTTATCATCGTTTTTTTTTAATTACTTTCGAGAGTATGAATTCTTCGGGTTTTATTTCAGTCTGGGCGGAAATTTTATCCGAGTGTAATTATTATGGGCAATCACGGTAATGGAGTTCGAAGGTCGTAGTCACAAGGTCTTCTCTCTCTCCTTTCTTTCTTTCTCTATCTTTTTTCTCTTTTTCTCTCTTCTCTTCTTTCTCTCTTCTCTCTTTCTCACTTTTCTCTCTTCTCTCTCTCTATTCTCTCTCTTTCTTCTCTTTCTCTTTCTCTTCTCTCTTTCTCTTCTCTCTCTCTCTCTCCTCTCTCCTCCTCTTCTCTCTCTCCTCTCCTCTCCTCTCCTCTCCTTCTCTCTTCTCTTCTCTTCTCTTCTCTCTTCTCTTCTCTTCTCTTTCTCTTCTCTCTTTCTCTTCTCTCTCTTCTCTTCTCTTCTCTTCTCTTCTCTTCTCTTCTCTTCTCTTCTCTTCTCCTTCTCTTCTCTTTCCTCTCTATCTATTCTCTCTCTGCTCTCCTCTCCTCTCCTCTCCTCTCTCTCTTCTCTTCTCTCTCTTCTCTCTCTCTTCTCTCTTGCTCTCTCTGCTCTCTCTCTCTTCTCTCTCTCTCTCTCTCTCTCTTCTCTCTCTCTCTTCTCTCTTCTCAGGGGGTTTACTTCACTGAGACTGGCCTAGGTCATGTTTCAGGTCAGAGGTTAGGTCATATGTCCTATCAGTGGGAGTAGGTCTTCGTTTCAGGTAGGATGTACATTAAAATTAGTTCATATTCATCACCCTGAACCTTTTTTTACACATCTTTCTCCACTGTCTACGGCCATGCTTTCTAACAATCAAAATCAGATAACATACTCTTTAATCCTCCCATCTCACCCTCTCCTAAAAAAGGAGAAAAAAAAAAAAAAAAAAAAAAAAAAAAACAAGAATGCTGTGCCAATTATCCACTTTTTTTTGTGTAAAACCTCCTGACCGCAGTTTATTTTCACCCAATGGCTTCAATCGCACCATTTACTCGCCTCCTTCCTCTCTGCACTCACCGCACACCCTCCAAAATTGTATTTCGAAATGACGCATCCACGGACGGTACAATTTCACAACAGCATATCCCTCATCTGCATAATGCAACGGGAACGCATCGATAAACCCCGGTGGTCCCGCCGCTGCACAGGGCTGAACTAAAACGCTCTTGAACAGTGCCACAGCGATACGTCATTGGGCTCTAAAATGTATATAAAAGGGGAACGTCCCTTTATGCCTTACGATGTCTCAGTAGAAGCGCTTTATTCCCCGTAATACCACAGTAAAACACCCTTTTTCCTCCCCACAATACCATAGGAAAACACAGTTTTATTCCCCACAATGGAATAGCAGAAAAACCCTGTAATGGTTAATGGTTTAAACAGTTAAATATGCGAGACGTTAAAGGTCACATAAACACCTTTTCTGTTCCAAATCACACCCCACAGAAAAGCAAAATACTTTTTTTTCTCCCAAAATCCCACAGCATAATACTCCTTTTCTCCTCAGCAATACACATTAGCAAAATATACCTTTTTCCCCACAAAACCACATCAAAATACCTCGTTTTCCCCCCACAATACACCAACAAAATATTTTTTTCCCCCCAGCAAAACCAAACAAAAATAATTTTCTCCCCCAAAAACCGCAGCAGAAATCCTCCCTTATCCTCCCCCACTTCACCACAGCATAAAAATACCCTTTTCCCACAAAACCAAACAAAAACTCCCTTACCCCACCATAACAGCCAAGCCCCTTCCCTCCCGCCAAACACACAACAAAACAACCCTTCCCCCAACCCCCAACCCCTACAGCAAACCGATTTCTGAATTCCCAGCCCTCGGCTGAGATCCCGGCTTCTTATCCAGTTTTCGTCAGCTTCCTCACCAGCCTCACAACTCACAGCCTCAAACCTCCCACCAACCCGCCTGTACCATTAGACAAAGCTGTGGCGTCGATGTAAGCAATATAATTCATAATTAATAGGATGAATCGAGGTTGGGGTATGTATTCTTTTAGGCTTCGATGTGGGTAGCATAGAGATATTAATGTTTGCTTTGTTCTTTTTTTCTTTAATTTTTTGTTTGGTTTATCCATTTT